AAGCGGTCAGCACCAGGATCAGAGTCCTGAGCTGAACTGCAAAGTTTACAATCCACCCTGTCCCCCCACAACCTCCCACTTCCAGCTCCAAGGACTCCCCAGATAAGGCATCTGGCCCAGAGAGCTGCTTAACTCTAGCCTCCAGCACACTCAAGGCTGCCACACTGAACTGCTTGGAGGCAGCAGATAGCAAGCTACTCACTGAGGGTTAAACTCATCAAACTAACAAGAGGGGACATGTCAACTGACTTAACTGGGGATGCCCTCATATCTAAAGGAAGAAACTGCTGGGCACAGTGGCTCATGCCTGTAATCCCAGCACTCTGTGAGGTAGAGGCAGGAGGACTGCTTGAGTCCAGCAGTTCGAAACCAGCCCGGGCAACATGGCGAGACCTCGTCTCTACAGAAAATACAAAAATAATTAGCCAGGCATGATAGCATATGCCTGTGGTCCCAGTTACTTGGTAGGCTGAGGCAGGAAGAATGCTTAAGCCCAGGAGGCAGAGGTTGCAGTGAGCCGTGATCTTGCCACTGCACTCCAGCCCGGACAACAGAGCAAGACCCTGTCTCAAATAAATAAAGGAAGAAACCAACATGAGGGGCAGGCCAGCACTGCAACTGGTGCCTAATGCTATCCTGAGGAGACTCTCTACGGATCTTTCGCAACTAAAGCCACTGGAGATGTGCTGTGGTAAGGAAAGACAGCATCTCACCATGGAAGAAGGTATCACTCAAAACGACCCCCTTCTGGTTCAATCATTTCCCATTAGTCAAGGAATCTTTTAATAATTAATTGGAGGCCTAGGTAACAATAATGGTAATGACTCTTCTCTTTCCTTTTTAAAGAGATGAGGTCTTGCTCTGTCAACCAGGCTGGGGTGCAGTGGTGCAAGCATGGGTCACTGCAGCCTTGAACTCCTGGGCTCAGGCAATCCTCCTGCCTTAGCCTCCCTCACAGCGGCAGTTACAGGCACGAGCCACCACTGCATCCAGTTATGACCCTTTTCTTGACTCAAAAGGTGTGAAGAACACAAAACAGAACGGCTGCTTTTGAGAACAAGCACATTCCACAAATGTGATCCTTGGGATCACAGGAAACAAAGTGAGCAGAGTGGTGGGGAAAGAGGTTATTTACACTTCCTCAAGCTGGATCTTTGGCTATTTCTACCAAGAGGAAAAAAGCTTTCTTAAACAACAAAATTCTTCCTGGAACATCCATGCAACATTAAAACCACAGTTCCAAGTATGCAGATTTCTTCTAGGCAGTATGTAAAATAGAATATATGGCCGGGCGCACTGGCTCACACCTGTAATCCCAGCACTTTGGGAGGCTGATGGCGGTGGATCATTTGAGATCAGGAATTCAAGACCAGCGTGACCAACATGGTGAAACCTCGTCTCTACTAAAAATACAAAAAATTAACCAGGCATGGTGGTGCATGCCTATGGTCCCAGATACTTGGGAGGCTGAGGCAGGAGAATCGCTTGAACCCGGAAGCCAGAGGTTGCAGTGAGCTGAGATCATGTCACTGCACTCCAGCCTGGGCAACAGAGCGAGGCTCCAACTCAAAAAATATAAAGACATAAAATAAAAATAAACTTACTGCAGGAAATGACACCTGTTCATTGAATTTGTTCAGATCCTTCACATTATCTTAACAGGGACCCCTAGATCTAGTTTTTCTTTGTTGGCTGTGCAAGTGAGATAAAGATGGAGTTTCCAGAAGATTTAACTCAAACCCGGCATGCACTCCAGGTTCTCCCACACTAGTCTCTCTGCCTGCACTCTTTGGCCCAATCCAATCCTCACATAATGATAAAGCAATATTCTCGTGCTAAAACTTGAATCACGTTACTCCTTAAGAAGCCTTCAATGACAATAACGAAAACTAACATCTATCAAGCATTTAAGTGCCCGTTGTCAGAAACTTTTCAATGCATTTTAGGTATATTAATTCACTCGATCCTGACAATAACCTAATAAAGTAGACATTACTCACGTTTTATAGATAAGTAAAGAGAGCAAGGCATAGTTAAGTATCTTGCAGAGGGTTCTACGGAAAGTGGGAGAAGCGGGGATTGGAACCCTGACGGTGACTCCAGAGTCCCAGTGCTCACCTATGCTCCAGGGGCACTGTGTGCTTCTATTCCTTTAAGGAAAGGTTCAAGATAATTACCAGCCTTTGCTGAACACTTGCCACATGGCACAAACTTTAAAACATACCTTCTGGCAGGCCGTGGTGGCTCATGCCTGTAATCCCAGGACTTTGGGAGGCCGAGGGGGGTGGATCACCTGAGGTGAGGAGTTCCAGACCAGCCTGGCCAACATGGTGAAACCCCATCTCTACTTAAAATACAAAAATTAGACAGGTGTGGTGTTAGGCACCTGTAATCCCAGCTACTTGGGAGGCTGAGGCAGCAGAATCGCTTAAACCCGGAAGGCAGAGGTTGCAGTGTGCCAAGGCTGTGCCACTGCACTCCAACCTGGACAATACAGTGAGACTCCATTTCAAAACAAAACCAAAAAAAAACCCGGCCGGGTGCAGAGGCTCAAGCCTGTAATCCCAGCACTTTGGGAGGCCGAGACGGTCGGATCAGGAGGTCAGGAGATCAGGACCATCCTGGCTAACACGGTGAAACCCCGTCTCTACTAAAAAATACAAAAAATTAGACGGACAAGGTGGCGGGCGCCTGTAGTCCCAGTTATTGGGGAGGCTGAGGCAGGAGAATGGCGTAAACCCGGGAGGCGGAGCTTGCAGTGAGCTGAGATCCGGCCACTGCACTCCAGCCCAGGCGACAGAGCGAGACTCCGTCTCAAACAAAAAACAAAAAAAACAAAAAAACCCTTTCTCACATTTAATTCCTTCAACCAGGAATCACCATTACAAATGAGGAAACTGCCTAGTTTAGAAGTCCCCTGGCCAGGGAAACAGAACCCAACTGTTTCACGTGCCAGGTGTATCCAACTGCAAGGCCCCTGTTCCTGTGGATCCACACATATCCCCCACCCCATTCCTGCAGCCCCACCTACTGCCCAACACAAAACTCTGCACACACTAAAGCCAAAACCCTAGAGATCAAATAGACTACAGTGCGGTCCACCTGTAGTCAGAAACTGGGGGAGTGACCTCAGAGAGAGAAGAACCTGGTGTCGATCATTCTGTCGTTTCCAAAGGAACCTACAAAACCTGGATGGATTTAGAAGTGGCCAGAGGAGCCAGCGCCAACTTCACATCAGACACTAGGCGGAGATGTGACAGAGCTTTCGCAGTCAGCAGCTGAGGAAACAAATACTAATGCATGCCCATTATGAACCAGAAGCCCGGTAAGTGCTGGCTGCGAATTACCAGGTGGTGGTGGCAGTTGTAGTTGATACAAGTGTCCAGGATGGGGAAGGAGGTGAGGGATACATTTCAGACATCAAGAGAAAAACCTAGCCACAGGCACACGGGTGATATGAATAAACATCCGCTGAATGGCCGGGCCTGTGGCTCACGCCTGTAATCCCAGCACTTTAGGAGGCCGAGGCGGGTAGATCACATGAGGTCAGGAGTTCGAAACCAGCATGACCAACATAGTGAAACCTCCGTCTCTACTAAAAATACAAAAATTAGCCAGGCGTGGTGGTGCACACCTGTAGTCCCAGTTACTCGGGAGGCTGAGGCAGGAGAATCGCTGGAACCGGGGAGGCGGAGGTTGCAGTGAGCCGAGACCGCACCACTGCACTCCAGCCTGGGCGACGGAGCAACACTCCGTCTCAAAAAATAAATAAAAATAAACATCTGCTGAGAAAACATATGTCTGAGAAAACAGTATCTAACATATTTACATCCTGGCTATTTACAAAGACACTTAAACTTAATGCGTGTTGGGAAACTATTGGGCAAAGTTCTCACTTCTTCATACAGGTGAACTCAGCTCACAAAGACTTGAAATGACCAATAACATTTAACGGTCATGGGGAAGTTTGGGAGACATGACCGCAAATCACCTCCATGGCTCCTCACCCAGCTCAAGCATCTTCTCCCTAAGGAAATAACCAATCTCCAGCCCAGCCCACTTGTTTTTCAAGCCCATGCAGGAGGTCAACTCAGCCAGCAATTAAATCGCACTCAGCCCCGCCGCTCAGTTCTCCGTGGTCTCGGGCAAGTCACTCTACCACTCCCAGCCTCAAGTTCCCCATCAGTAAAAGTGGAGTAACATGAATTGCTAGCAGACAACAGGACCGTGAAAGATCAAACGAGGCATCGTTTATACGAACAGGCTTAGAAAACTTAAGACGCCGCACAAAGGGAGGCGAGTGTTAACAGAGGCCGCGTGGACGGGGATTTGGGCTTGCGTCTCAGCTTCGGCCGTCGGAGCAAGTCACTTCCCTGCTGCTAAACTTCGGTTGCCTCAACTATAAGATAGGTGGAGACCAAGCAGCCCCGAGATCACGGAGCGGGGCCCAAATGCCAGTCCAGACAGACCAGGGGGCTGCACCGCCGAGACTCCCGGACCCCGGAACGCGGGGGCCCTAGGGTGCAGCCCCTCAGGTCCACGAGGCG